TAAATCAAAATAATATTCATTACTTACCTACAATAAGAAAATTTACCATACTGCATACATTTAACAAGATTTATGCCATTATAAGTAGTATAGTGAAAAAGTAGAATTTCTTCTGCTGAACGGTTATCTTTTAAATACTTCCTCAAAATCGCTTATTCTTCCTGCTCATTCTGCGATGTTAATAGCCTCTTTCATAGTATTACTCATAAGTATCCATTAAAACTTTGGTGAGACTGTCACCCCCTACTTCTTACTCGAGGTCTTGGATATGTGGCAAGATGGAAGGTGGAATTTATCTGCCTAAATACTTGTTTCTGGCAAGGAATGTCCTGGTAAAGCACTTTTGATTTATCATTAAATATTTTTGATCATTGACAGATTATGAGTATGATGGTTGTATTAGCAAGTTAGAAGATAATATATTATAAAACTTTTTTTATCTTGTATTTTCCATTAATCTTTGTACAATTCGATCTGGCATGCACAACTTTGTTCTGTTACGGTCATGACACTGTTTGAGTAAATATGAATCTCAATATTCTCAGAGAGTGCTTTGCTTATATCGAAATCACCGCGCATATCTTTTTGTTTGAGGAAAGTTCGCTTACAGACCTTAAACGCTCATGTTTCCTACTTGTTTATAATTCTAGCCTCTACTTCTTCTATAAGCCCTATTGAAACTGCGTGAGTTAAGTGGCCAAATAGAAAAATGTATCTACAGAAAAATGGCATAAAGATGGACTTTTAAATCCAATAATGTGATTATCTTTTAATTTTTGTTTTGCATAGTAAATATACTTTCTTTGATGTACCCTCAAAAATCAAGAATTCATTTGATAAATTTGCTAACATCTGCGCCTCCCAATGAACCCAAGCTAATAGCAACTCTTCGTTCGATTGCATACTGAAAGAATATAGTATTTATGAGTTTTTAAACGGCCTACTCTTCCTGTTGAAAAGTATCAGTCTTTATTGCGATGGGTTGCATCTAAGCGAGCACAGTTGATGTCCTCATATCCAGTCCCGAGCATTAAAATAGTTGCTATGTCTCGCTATAACCAACTGTTCATCTCATACCTTCAAAGTTAATAGCTCACCTTTTCTAGCTGCCTTGTCCCGTCTGATCCGATTTGTGGTCGTCTTTTTGTCATGTTTATCGTCTGCAGATCATCGAATTGGTCGCGATCTGCATCGGAAAGCCCGAGGTCTAGTTCAATGGCAATTATCCCCGATTCTTGACTTGATATGCTCATCTTTCGGGAAGGCAAGTTATTCACTTCAAGAAGATTTAGGCTCGGCATCTAGAAGGCAGGAAGCAACAAAAATGCATGCCAGATTATAGAATTGATGACATCTGGTATAGTATCAGTTTTTTTTTCATTCCAACCTTATCATGCTTTTAGCAAGGTCAACTCATCACTTGCGAAATCATTTTACATTGTCTTCGGCTCCGAATGGTTGATACTATGCATGACTGAAATATCTGGGCAAGATGCCACTTCTCGGTGGGCAAGCCTCCGAAATAGTTGAGCCCATAATTAACGAAATGTTTCGGCTTCACGATTGCTATTTATTCCGATTAAAAAGGGACCTGGTTGAATGCGCGTCACTATTGCTTCTATCATTATATCCACTTCATATGTCGGTATCAAATGACGAATTTTTTGTGAATCATGAAGATATTCTGCTCCCGATTGCAGGCAAAAGACGGCCTTTATTGCAGAAGATGGAGTTCAGATTGCGGAATTCAAATCAAATCGACTCCCAGCGATTACAAACCACTCTTTGCTGAATTATTTTGGGATTAACTACATAAACTCTTCCTTCAAACTATCGTCAAATAAGACCAGATGCTTGTTAACTAGCCGATATGATTCGTTTAGCTGCCACGTTCAAATGAACAAAAAAGTTGCCTCTTTCAAGTGGAGAAATTGAGATTGCAGCCTACACTTGCATTTTCAATGATCACTGATCCTCTTGAAGCCGTCTACGTGAAATTTTTTGTCCTGAATTCCCATAAAACTTGGGTAAACACGAGTAATTGAGGCATCACTTAGAAGTAATGAACTAATATCCGTTATCATTTATCACGAGGAAAGCATTTTAATGACCGAAACAGCGGTTATAAAGCGGTTTCAAAATAAATTTATTTGTTCAGTAAAACTCCAATTTTTTTATGATATTACGGAGCATTAGTAGCCCATGCTTAAACAAAAGTGCTCATTTCACAAAGGAGAATCCAAACGAAAATCTATCCCAGACTATTTATAATTAATTAAAGACCTTGTTTTCATATTTTTAATTGAGTACTTTTGTTGAGGGTCAGATATTATGAAGAGATAGGCCTTCAAGGGTCCACAAGAGTTAGGATAATTGAGATCAGAGTCATTTGCAACGATAATGTCCGGGAGGTTTCAGAGTGACCGAGTTGAAGTTCAAGGCGAGCCAGGCTTCTCCCACATCAAATGATGTAATGTGATTGCCGACAAGGCCAACTTCTATTACATTTATTCGAGAAGTATTCAGCCTATTCTGTTTAAGATTTTGAAGAACTGCAAGTTGAATTTTATCAAAATCAGATAAGAAGACCTTACATTTTCATAGAATTTCAATATAGCCTTAATTTTCAAAAGGTATTCTTTCCAGACAGAAATGAACTGCTGTCTCGACTTCGCCTAAATTGGTCTTATCAGCACCTCCAGCGGGACTCGAACCCGGCTTGTGGTAATGTGGCGTATAGTATATATATATATCTTTATATCACAGAATAAAATATAGAAAAAATGGCCTGGCAGGCAACCCTTGATGAGAATACCTTTTTTATTATGCATCAAATGGTTGTCTAGAGAGCTTACTTAAAAGCCAATATATATTTTTTTCTATTACGACAACAATGCTACTTTTTATTAGAATTAAGTAGTATTTCTAGACTATTAGCAGATCTTGCATTATAGGACGTAATGAGATGAGGAAAAAGCAAACATTTATACTTGATTTTTTCCGTGCAATTGACAAGACTATTAGTAAATATGCAGTCCTGTTTAGGAATTATTGCCAATTATTGAATAAGAACCTCGTCGATCTTGACAATTTTCATATTAAAAAATGCCACCTTAAGCGAACTAGAATGACTAAGTTCTCAGTCTTTGGTACAGTCGAGAGGCAAGTTGAGCTGGTACCTCAGGTTCTCCTCCGGACACCGGCAACGGGCCGTGGCTTTCCAAATTGACGTCAGCCAGCATCGTCAGGATTGTCGGTGGATCGTCTCTTGTCGAGCATGACCCGCTCCTCTTCGACTCGTCTTCCGATGTCGGTTTATCTTCTGTACAACTGGACGATCGGACACGTCCGGCGGCCATCGAAAGGCCCGGCAATGAGACTGCCGATATGCTATCGATGCTCGTCGTCTCGTCGTTCCGGCTTAAACTGTGCTGGCGAGCCGAGAAGACGGTCAAGTGGGATTCTGACCTGGTCTCGTGGTCCGCAGAGTCCAGGTTGTGCTCGAGCTCGACGTGCGGTGAGGCGGGAAGACAGGCAGCATCGGTCAACCGATCGTCCGGGTGAATATTTAGCGAATTGGACTGTGGCGACGGACGTCCGGCGTCTGGAGAGGCAGCAAAAGGAGACGCCATCTCTTTGTGCTCGCCCAAAACCGACATGGATTGGCTGCTGGAGAGAAAGAGAGAGCATTCATATTGTTCAAATGATCTTGCTACGAGGCTGGTACAGCACAAAAGCCAAATAGCATACAAGGCCGAAGAGCTTGGCGCCAGTTGCGAGGGACATCAAGACGGGACTGAATGGACGCTCATGCGAACAGACACAAAAAGGAGGCAAACTTGCAGACATGCCTGCATCGAGGTTGGAATGTAGGAAAGCATACAAGAAAGGCATGCACAGAAAGATGCGAAATCACATGGACGAAAAGTGGTAGTTAAGACAGTTTCGAACGGCATAGCATAAAAGATTTTTAACTTAATTTTTTCTCCAGATACGAAGTGTATCACTTGAGATAAATGTGTTGTAGAGACTTTCATTTGGTAGGAAATTGCACAAAAAAAAGTGATTCGTAGGTTGAATTCATCAGAAGACGACGCCGGAAGCCCGTTTAACTCAAAGCTTTCAGGTTTAATACAAAGTTGCGGTTGATGCAGTCCACGAGACAACTTCTTTGTTTTTGTGTGAAGACAGGCTGAGTCTTGTGAAAATCTAAAGTTAACATGAGGTCAAGAAGGCCTTGAAACTTTCACAATAATGAGGGACGAAATCTCGGTTGGTTTTCACACAAAACGAGAGAGGATGTCACGTGGACTGCATCAACCCAAACGTCATATTCAAGCCAAAAGACTGAAGTTAAACGGAATTCAGGCGTCGTCCTCTGGTGAGGTCAACCTATGAATCTCTTCTTCATGCATTTTCATACAGAATAAAAGTATCCACATCAGTACTATTTTTTTTATCTTGACATGAGTATTTTACGGAAGTATCATTAATTTAAAGGTCTACTCATACCCATAGTAAGTAGCATCGTTGAAGATAGTGGAAACTGCATCCTGGTATCATTTAACTAGCTGGCCTTGTAAGTAACATCGTCCCAGTGACTGCGTTACGAATGCAATTTCGAATTCCCCCCTTAATTCACACAAAGTCATCCAATTTTATTAAATTTATGTGGAAATTGTCTATTTCATAACTTAGAAGCCCTAACTTTCTGAACGGTTTTTGGCATTTTGTAGAGTTAAGACAATTTTCTAATGAAACGGAGTGCATTTTTATGTGAACTTGGCTCGAAGCGATAATGGAATATCTTTTAAATCCCTAGCAGGACCTTCTTTGCTCCTGGCGGAAATTCGTATACTTCAAGTTTAACAATCATGCAAACGGATCCTTCTATCCTCGGCGATAAAGCCAATTTAGCAAATTAATTAGCAATACTGAACCATTTCTGAACTATTATTTTGGTTTATTGAATTAGCAGTGCTAACAACTTTGTACAACAACGATGAAGCCTAGATATAGTATGCTTCACCATTGCTTTATAAGTCCAATAATGCACCTGGTGGTAAGCTATCCGATTTTAACTGATATGGGAAAAATCGCAATTTGACTTCATAGACTAATTTGTTGTGATCAAGAAAGCCGTGTTAATGGGTGTTTTGCCCTGTCAAATAGCGCAAGTATGGCCAATTCAGAATAGCAAATGAAGCCTAAAAAAGGAAAGCGTCTATTGCGAAGATGTCACATTCTTTTTATTCTAGACTCTTATTTTTCATACTATAGTTGACCTGAAGACTAGTTAGAGTGGGCGGTTTTGTTGAATAGCTAAAGTCGACAAGTCAGAATCGGGAGTTAGCCATCGCTGGGCTTCGGCTATTTATCAGTGAGGTGGAAATTCGAGAACATTTGCAAATTGGAGAAGAAGCATCGGACAGGACAAATGGGAAGCTTTATGAAAAAGCAAATTAAAAGAAAATTTTAAGTAACTTGTAGCAGATGTAACGACTAAAAGTTATGCTAGCGATGCTCATGCGCTGAGATGCATCTATGGGCATAGGAAAGTCGAGAAGTATTTATCGAAAATGAGTGTATGCATGCATGTACAATTGGAGAAAATCCGGCTTTAGGAGAATCCCTTGGCAATGTAGTGCAACTATAATTTTCCCTTCTTGGGAGCATTTCATTAATTGAAGTGGGCCTTTACGCTCTGATGGTGTCTTGTGTATGACAGACGAAAGTTTTGCGCGGAATCCTCGGGCTTGCGTGATGGTAAAGCAAAGAATTGTTGGCAAAATGCAACAGCTTTTTGGTGAAAACACTTCATGAATCCTTTCGAGATGGAAAGTCAAGTCACACTCTACAAGCTTTTCGTGTAAAAGCTACGAGACGTAAAAACACACCTGCAAAGCCTGATTGTAACTTTCATGAACTGTATGGAGGTACAGCCACATACGAGGGTCTAATATAGCCACGATTGGTATGGAGCAAGCTCAATTACGTTCTTTGAAGACATTCCACAATCTTGACACTCTTTTGATGGGATAGAGCAAAGACCGGCCGATATTCAATAGGGACTGAAGATCATTTGAAAATTATGCGTAAACGACATGGCCGATGTGGATTAGACACTTTATCACATCAGAAACTAAAGACAAGTTGTCTTGATAGAGAACCTTCAACAATCATACTGAGGATGTTTACATTCTTCAAGGACCGGTAGTCTGAAGTCACACTGTTTTTGTGTGTGGTGTCTACATTAGTGGTGTATGCATGTAGGATTATGTAAACTTGGTGGTTCGTCTTGAGAAAGAATAATGAAGTTGACAACCGAATCACTGGAGATGTAGTAAATATCTTGAAAGTAGAGTATAAGTAGTTGAATTGCGAACAAGAATTGTGTCCCTTTCTGAGAATGAATGTCATGGAAGTACAGAAGAAAGCTCAGAATATTGAGAAATTATATACTTAATTCATCATTAATAATTGCAAAACAGACTTAGCTTAACATTATACAAATCCTTTCCACTAGCCATTTTATATGAAAATAAACCATTAAAGGACCTCCATGTATGCATACTTGCAAAGGTGCAATGCTTGATTGTCTATAAAATCTTTACATGTGCTGACAGTGGACCAACTAATATAGAAATATTTACAAGATGTAATTTTAACAAGACTGAAGATCTCATAAATGCATTAAATACATTTCGGCACTCGTAAATCCTTAATTTATCGAGAATTACTCAATAAATTACATTAATTCATAAAAATCTATTATTTTAGGTTTGCGTTATTTTTGGTAGAAATACATTTTTTTCTACTTTTTGCCGGAATAGCCCGCAAAAGTAAACTGAGCAAGAGCCATTTTCCAAGCTTGTAATTATCAAAAGCAAATGGAAAAATTGTGCAATTCGATTGGAACAATTTAATCAGCTTCAATCTCAGCCTCAAACCGAGCAGTGGTTTGCACAATTTGCCAAACAAGACAAAGAAGATGGCGATTAGCCCTTTTATACTTTGCTACAAGGTGCAAATAAGCTAATAAGAAGCCGAACAGGGGCGGCATAAGATAGACTATTGTAACATTACATTCCGTTTGAAAGAAAAACTTTGTTAGAATTACTTCGTGAAATAATCTCACCGGAAACCAAAGAAGGAATGTCAGTAGTGAAGACTGTTTGATTTTGATAAGAGATTCTTGGATTACTGTTTTGCGACCTCAATAAACCTGTTCTTAGTTTTCGTCTTTACTCTGATCGACATCATCAGGGCAAGAATCCAAACTTTATAAAATAGCATTAAATATGGAAAATCAAGCCTTTTCTCTTATACTTAATATCAATATCTTGGTGAGGCATCTTATGATTTAGTTGAGTATGTTATGCGAACAAGAAAGTGGGGCTTGCATTGGGACTAGTTAAAATATCAAAAAATGGAATATTTCTTCATGTTAACCTGCAAGTTCGAGGCTTGGTATTGATTTTGCAGATGTTGTTTGGACAATAGTGATAACTCATTTTGTGGACACATTATAATTGACTTTTAAATTATTTTATTTATCATATTTTGTATACTTTATTGTTATTAGTGTTTTCTATTGTCTCATTAGTTTATTTTTAATTTTCACTATATTAATGAATTATTTTACTCCTTCATATTAGATTATTTTTCAGATATTATTATTTCCTATTTTACTTTATTATTGTCATATTATTATTATTAGTAGTAGTATTATTTTGCTTACCTCATACTTATTCTCTATTTTACCTTAAAGAAGGCTCAATTGGCATAATCGCCACAAATACAAAATACTCTTCTTCTGCTCACAAAAGGGATATTATACCTTATTCTTAGCAGTAACAAAGACCAATGATTGATCAGTATGTTCATGCAACGGAAAGAGTCTTTAGAATTGGTTAGAAAATATAGGAGCTATAATTAACCTGGGCTTCTTAAGGTGATGAACCTGTGCTCAACTTTTGTCTTTATTCTGACCGACATCATCAGGGCAAGAATCCATACTTTATGAAATAGCACAAAATATGAAAATTCAAGCCTTTTCTCTTGGTTTAATATATTTTTGTGCTTTTAGGTAAAAAATGGGTTTTTGCTTTGATAATGTTTGCCACGACGGTACAGATGAAAGCTTAGCACAGGTTCATTGAGGTCGCAAAACGATAATTCAAGGACTCCTTTGCACAATCAAACAGTCTTCACTCCGTGGCATTCCTCCTACGGTTTTCGGTGAGACCATTTCGCGAATTCCTTGTAACCAACCTTTTCTTCCAATTGAAAAAAACATTTCAGAATATATTACTAAGAAATTATTCTAAATTAAGTTTTTATTTATAAGACTTATTAATCTGATTTTTATA